CCCCCTCTCCCCCTCCCTCCCTCTACTCTCTGAAGCCTGGTTAACTTTGTCTCTCCTCTCCTTGCTGCTCTCTGCCAACCACCCAGGACCCAGAAGTCCTGCCTATTCCTTCTGCCCAGCAATTGGCCAATAGCTTCTTTACTAATAGATCAAGAACCAATTGGGAACAAGACCTTAGCATCAAAGCTGCCCCTACACATTTGTCGTTATTAGTCCAATGGAAAACTCCTCAGAATTTTACAGTCCGAACAGAATCTAAATAGAGGTGATCCTAGTTTTTGTGGTAATGTGTCCCATAACTATTAAAATGGTCTTGTCCCACTATGAATTTTCTTTCGTGCATCTATGTATCTGCGTGCATGAGTGTACCTGTGGGTTTGTACTTGTGCTCATGGAGGCCACATGTTTACCTAGGATGTCATCTTACAGAGGCTACCATCTCTCCTCTGGTAGTTACCTGGAGTGCCTCAGCAGTACTGAGCTTGGGGGTTGGACTGGGCTGGCTGGACAGGTGCTTCCCTTTGACATGGGTCATTAGTGTGTGCCACCACACTCAATCCTTTACCAAGCCTTTACTAACCCGTCATCTTCCCAGGCCCCACTTGGAATTTTTTCATATATGTATATATTTCTCAAACATTTCTTATACATATTTATTAATAAGAGAAATAAGTACAAATTGAGTATAGATTAAATTCATCTATTTTGGTTGTTTTAAAGAGTACTTTTTTAAAATTTTTCTATTAGGTTTAATGATATCCATGTACCAATACGCCTAGAATGTGTGAAATTTGCCAGCCACTGCCTCATGAACCATCCTGATTTAGCAAAGGATTTAACAGGTAATAGGACATATTTCTGGATGCTCTTCAGTGGGGGCAAAACTTTATAGGGAAAACCTTTCTTTTAGGTGTTTCTGATAGCTGTCTTTTCTCCTTACTCATTATTCTGAAACTTACTTTTGAAACTAGGATTTTTAATGTGTACTTCCTGTGCATACTGAGAACAGTATTTTACAAGTAAGTTCATGAACTAAGGTAGTTCTTTTGTTTAAGCACTACTGTGCACATTTTCACATATTTGAATTGGAATTGGTCTTGATTTTGAAGATTAACACTAATGCTCTGACACTTTATGAACTTAATGAAAGTCATTTAGCTGTAAACAAAGTTAACCATAATTAATGGAGAACTCTTAAGCTTTTCACTTCCAATTTTTGAAGTAATGAGAACATCATATACCTGTTTATTTTTTAAATTATGAAATAGTTCATAAAATAAAGGTTAATATAACAGCCATGTATATATTCTGCACAAATGTTAGCATTTGCTGTCTTATGAAATTAAAAAGCAAAGAAAAGATAATTACAGCTAGAACTCTCACAGGCTGTTCTCCTTAGTGGTTCTACAGAACACAGTTATCAATGGTCTGCATAGTTTTCATGATTTTTATAGCTATCTCGTATTTGTCTCCTTGTGTAGCTGATTGTAATTTTGTCCAGTGTAAAGCATTTCATTAGAATTGTGTGTGACTTCGATAGGTTTGAACTTCAGTCTTTATTATGTGTTTTTTCTTTGCAGCGCCCATTTCTTTCCCTTGTGTCCTATAGATTTTCTTTGTTCTCATTTTTTCTTGCCAGTCTGTTCTTTTGCATTTGAACAGTTATTTATCTAGTCCCCCATTCTATGTCTCTGTCTGTCTCTTTCTTTCATATGTATGTGTTTGTTGTGTTGTGTCTGTGTCTATTTTTCTCTCACTTCTTGCTCTTCTGTCCTCCTCTCTCCTTTTGGATATTCTTCTATTATTATTAGTATATTTATAATGCAATATTTTATGCTATATTCATAATATAATTATTAATATTTTATTATACATTATACAATATAATCTATATGAATATAATATTTGTAGTATAATATGATGTTATTATAATATTATTAATGCAGTATTTTCTGAATCTAATTTTGGCAGGGAGGGTTTTCCTCTTTAAAAACATTAGCAATAACTTTTTCACCTTTTATTTGGAACTTTTGGGTTTTTTGTTATTAGATTGTTTCTTCAGAAATTTTAGTAATTCAAAGCCATGTGCTCATGATTAATAATGTGTGTGCGCGGGTGTGCTCGCATATGCATACGCATGTGCAGTAAACAGAAAGCCATTTGAAAAGTGCTAACTGTAAAACATAAAATGGGTCTGTAGCTCCTATGATTCACTTCACTGTGGTGAGTTGTTTTCTAGGTGGTTCTTTTTTTTTTTTTAATTCTCTTTACATCCTGCTCACTACCCCTCCCAGTCACTCCCTCGCAATCCTTCCCCTCATACCCCCAGCCCCTTCTCCTGAGAGGGTGTCTCCAAGGGGCCTAGGCCGTTCCTCTCTTATTGAGGCCAGACAAGGCAGTCCAGATAGAAGAACATATCCCATGGACAGGCAATAGCTTTGGGGATAGCGTCTCACCCACCACCTCCAGTTGTTCCCAACCCACATGAAGACGGAGCTGCACATCTGCTGCATATGAACAGGGAGGCTTAGGTCCAACCCATTATGTTCTTTGGTTGGTGGTTCAGACTCTGAGAGCACCAAGGGTCCAGGTTAGTTGATTCCCTTGTTCTCCCTGTGGAGTTCCTATCCCCTAGGAGGTTCTTACTTAAGATTCCTCTGCTTCAGCTAGTTGGGTCCCAGAAAACAGGGTCTCCTCAGCCAAGGTCTTAGTTTTACTCCTTCAGCAACCATAGTAAGGGCTTCTATAATTATATGATAGAGATGGTAATACTCCATTATTTCCCAGTAATACCAGATGAGTTGGTTATTTTATTCTTTTATAAGGAAAATGACACTGACACACTTAACAACGACACACCTTTTCATGGGCGCAATTAGCCTAATGAATTAGAAACAGCTTCCCTCCCTGGAAGTGCTGACTTCACTTTTCAGTTGCAGATGACATTTAGATTTTGAGGGAAGGGCCAGCCCCACTCCTGGCCTCTTCCCTTCCCTTGCTCTTAATTTTCTTGAAATATTAAACATTCTACTTAGGATTTGCTTTTGCTCTGTTGATTTGCAAAGATCTTTTCAATCTTTTAAAGCAATATGATAATTCTTATTAAAGTTTCCATTTTAATCAGAAGATCTTACCTTTCAGAGTATCTTAAAGTGAGGTCACACGACCCTGAGGAAGCTATTAGACATGATGTTATTGTGTCTATAGTAACAGCTGCTAAAAAGGATATTCTTCTTGTCAACGATCACTTACTCAATTTTGTGAGAGAGCGAACATTGGACAAACGGGTGAGTAGGAATTGATAATTCCCAGCAGGTTTTGTCTTTGTGTGTTTTATTATTTTTGAGACAGAGTTTCTCTGTATAGCCAGCTCCTGGATCTCTTGGAATTCTCTCTCTAGTCTAGGATAGCCCTGAACTCAAAGAGATCCACCTGTCTCTGCCTCCTGTGTGCCAAGATTGAAGGTGTGCACTACCATACACAGCAGAGGTTTTTCATTGTTTTTTTTTTTTATTATTTTTATTTTTTTCCCCAAGACAGGAGTTTCTCTGTGTAGCTCTGACTGTCCTAGTACTTACTCTGTTGACCATGGTGGCTTGAACTCTGACATCTATAGCTAGATCTCAGAGTTTTTGCTACTTTGTGAGTTCTTCTTTTTCCCACCTTTCCCCCTCCCTCACCTCCAATTCAGCCTCCATCACTGGATAGGAGAGAAAAAAGAATAGAGGGGGGAGAGAGAGAGAGAGACAGAGACAGAGACACAGAGAGAGAGAGAGAGAGATCCCTGAATCTGATTTCATTTCCTTTGTTTCTTTCTTCTTTGAGCACAACTACTAACACACCACAACAACCCCCTTGAACAACCAGCAGCCACTACCCACACCCCCAGGGCTCTAGCATTTATATATCCTTTGAAAAGTTCCCAGAATTCCAAACATCTAACAATCGAAGATACTAGCTGCAGCTGGCAAAACCATGCATCAGCTGCTGTGGACAGTCTGAAGGAGCCCCCATATCCCCAAACCTGGTATTAAAATGAAAACATATTATTCTAATTTTTCTGTTTTGAAAGAAACCAAAATTATCACCTCAGAGATCCATCTGCTTCTGCCTCCCTAGTGCTTAAAATAAAGGTTTACAATACTACTGCTTGATTTAGAGTTTCATTTTTAATACCTGAAGTTTAATTACATTTCATTTAAAAATATCTTTTCTTTCCTAAACAATGAAATTATAAGTTTAAAACATCTGCGGTCCAGCCAGATAAAGCAGGATGTGTAAAGTGAAGAGTTGGATACTGGTGCTCAGCCAGCTTTTTGTCTTCAGTCAAGGACCCTAGTCTACCCACAGTTAGAATAAGGTATCCTTCCTCACAACTTGCCTGGAAACATTCTTCGTAGACACACCATTCCTAGGCGGTTCTAAATCTAGTGGGATTGACCGTAAAGATTAACCATCCCGTTACTCTATTGATTTACATAGTGAGAGCTTTTGTGTGTGTTGTTTTTGTCTTCTGCAGACAGGTTTTCTCTGTGTAGCCCTGGTTGTCCTTCAACTCATTATGTAGGCCAGTCTGGCCTCAAACTCAGGCCATCTGCCTGCCTGTGTCCCCCAGTGCTGGGGAGTAAAGCTGTGTCCACCACCACTGGAAATAGAAGCATTTTTATAAAATTAACTTTTATATGTTTCTGTTTTAAGTGGAGAGTACGTAAAGAAGCCATGATGGGACTTGCCCAGATTTATAAGAAATACTCTTTACAGTCAGCAGCTGGTAAAGATGCTGCAAAACAGATATCCTGGGTCAAGGATAAGCTGCTACATATATATTATCAGAACAGCATCGACGACCGGTAAGTCAGGGCCACGTGCTCCCATGCTTTCGCAGTGATTTGGTGAGTGTTGGGTGTTATATACATTCTTTGTATTGACTTTATGGCTTTAAATACCCTCTTATTTTTAGTATAGGGTAAATGGAATGCATAGCTTTCTTGCCAACAAAGCCACAGATGAAGCATACATAGATAACTTTTGGATAAGTAGAATTTTCTCATTTGTTTTCATGTGCTTAACTTTTTACAGGGTAATATCTAAAGGTAGGAATGTAGCTGTTGTAATTTCAAGTTTTGTTTTATAGAGAAACATAAAAAGGGTGTTCATATTGAAAATAAATCTTTTGGAAACTTTAGGTTAAAAAATTCTTTCCCACTCAAGACTAAAAAGTTTATAAATTTCTAAGAAATATGTTATCTCCCTAAAAGTAGATGACTCTTATATGGATAAAAGGCAGCTGGCCCTCAGTAGACCCCTAAGTTCTCTTTGGAATCTAAGTTGACAAATTTTTAGTGTATCACAAAGCGTATGCCTGTAGCAAGCCACTGGGAAAAGAAGCCATAGACCAATAGTTCTCAACTTCCTTAATGCAGTTCCTTATGTTGTGGTGACCCCAACCATAGAACAACCATTATTTTGTTGTTACTTCATAACTGTAAGTTTGCTACTATTATGCAAGATATGCAAGAATATGCAAGATATCCAATATGGTTTTTTGACACCCCCCGCCCCCCAAAGGGATCTTGACCCAAAGTTTGAGAACCACTTCCATAGACTGTTAAAATTTTATGGTATATCTTAGGAACTGTGGTTTTATCATTCATTCATTCATTCATTCATTCATTCATTCACAGTTTTTAGATTTGAGTGTGTGGCACCAGTGCACAGATTTCTGTTATGATTTGATAAGACACTTTTGTGTCTTGTTCCTGGATGTCTGGATGTAAAGGGAGTGAGAACTGTCCTGGGTATTATACAGGAGCCTGGAGCCGGCTGAAGTAGTTCCTGGCCTTTTTCTCTGTGCTTTTAGTTTAGTCATGTCTTGTTTCACAGTGGTCTTGTTTCATAGTGATAAGTCAAAGGGATCCTAAAAATCCTTTGTAGCTTTAGCTTGATAATATTTGTATCTTCAGAGAGGGACCTGGTATAGTTTTCTCAACTTTATTGTTCAGATATGGATATTTGGTATATGATACACAATTTTCAAGGTCATTTTCCTGTTAGCTGTGTGTAGGATTGTTGCAGACATATAGAACTAAGTCCTTTGGATCCTCTGAGATAGAAGAAGTCTCTTCTCCACTCTGGAAAGAAGGGGCTTACTTAATTTGTAATTTTTACAGTTTTTATCATTTTAAATACAAAGTTAGTACACTTACAGAGTCTTCTCTTTTATAGGTTACTTGTTGAGCGGATCTTTGCTCAGTACATGGTTCCTCACAATCTGGAAACTACAGAGCGGATGAAGTGCTTGTATTACTTATACGCTACACTGGACTTGAATGCCGTGAAGTACGTCCGCAGTGCTGTGCTGCTCTTTCTCTTGCAGTGTATGGGAGGGGGCTCAGTGTTCATGGGAACTTTACGTTAACGTAAGCATTGTTTAAAGGTCCAAGACACAAGAAACTACTGGGCTGTTTCTTCTTTTTAGAAAGTTCTGTCGCCAACCTGTGATGTAAGCAGATATAGCAACAGTTAAAGCTGGCTAGAGCTATTTGACAGGAAATCAGGAAGGATTTGATTTCTCTCTCTCTCTTTAGATTTTCATGTTGATGGCATTTCAAGAAAGGTGATATACCTATTTTCCCTACCCCCAGGTGTTAAAAAGGTCCACATTATGAAAATACTATCTTCCTACTCTTAACACGGTAGTAATTTAAATTATTCTGTAGTGCAGTAGAATAAAAATTTCTTTGCTGTTTGTCCTCAACTTAGTGTTGTAGGTTAGCATTAGGGTTCGTCTCACAAATATATTTTTATTCCTATGTTTCATTGAAAAAGTATGTTTAGATGTCTGGGGAGGGAATTGGCATTTTTATATAGTAGATATATGCTAATCTAGCTGAATCAGTTTAAGGTGTGAAGATTTCTTGAAGGTTTAGAAATTTAGACTCACGATAGTCCAGCAAATATAATTAGATCTGTTGAGGAGTAAGTGCTCTGAAATTGGAATTCTAAGGACACTTGAACATTTGAATGGACTTTCGTTTTTATTTCCATAGTTCTATGTGCTACAGTTATTTTCTCTAGAGATGTAGTTGTTGGCACACGCTCTGTTTCTAGCGCTGGAATCTAGACCTCTGTCTCTGCAGCTGAAAAGCAGCAGCAGAAGTTTACGCTTATACAAGTTAAGCAGACTCTACAGAGCCGGAATTTGAGTCAGTGCTACTTGCTTACAGCATTCAATCTTTTAACTACACGTAGCAAGAATACGATTACTGTTTACTATGTTGGGAGTTCTTTTCAGAAATTGGATGCATTCTCAAATTTCTGGTTTAGTTGAGGTTAGTTGTTCACCCTTGTTCCATGGTACAATTGATGGCCCATTAAACTGGATGTCACATTATTTGGAAATCTCAGTAAAATCTGGTTTTGACCAAATACCACTTAAGAATAAATTAATAAACATATTTTTAAATAAGAATCCAGAAATCCTTGGTGGAAGAACTTAGGACTATGAGTCTGTATACTTGCTTTTATTTATGCGAAAGGCAGGTATAGAAGGAAGGAACCATGTTCAAAAAACAGCAAAAGGTTCAAAGATTTCTGTAAGTCTAACCAGCTGAGACTTTGGGACTGCGGCTTTAGAAGGAAGTAGGAAGCATGTAGGCTGGCACATAAGCAGCACACTCACTGCAGTCATGTGCTGTCTTGCAAGTGCCCTGGAACCCTTCCCTGCGAGCAGGACGGTCTTCAGGAACTTTCTTCACTGCCCACTGTTGGGATTGTTTGATGCTGTGCCTTTGTGGGAAAGGAATTAGTGTTACTATATAACATATAAGAGAATAGGTAATAAATAAACATTAAAGTATATAAATGTCTTTTAATCATATGTGCACCAGGGAAAAATGTTGACTGATATATTTGTCAGGTATACATATAAAAAGAAGTTTAAATTCATCCCTACAAAAGAAAGTCAGAATATATAACTTCTAAATTCAAGGAATGAAAGACAACTGGTGGGATGTTTAATGCCAGAAATAGAAACGAAAAGAAGAAAATAACTCTAAATTAAAAGAAGAGATTACAAATAGCAGCCATAATGCTAAACAGAAACTACATTTCCCTTAAAATTCAGTATATTTGATCAAATTTAAAAGTAAAGCACTTGGCCAGTCTATGGTTGCACACGCCTTTAATTCCAGACCTTCGGAGGCACAGGCAGGCAGGATCTCTGAGTTCGAGGCCAGCCTGGTCTACAAAGTGAGTCCATGACAGTTACACAGACTAACCTTGTCTCAAAACAAAATAAAACAAAACAAGATTAAAAAAAAAAAAGGAAGGACTCATTTTTAAGAGATGTGCTATGAAATAATACCATTGAAAATAAACTCTGATTTGGATTAATATTTAGGGTTTTGGTTTTATGAAAGTGGTTCTTGCATGATATTTAACTGTTTCAAAATGACATATTTAAGGTAGGTGTCATTTGAAAGTGACTGTGTCATTTGCCACTGACTGTGAAATTAGCTGATTGTCTGTATTAGCTAGTTTTTGGAACTTAATTTATGCATATCTATGTTTTCCCCAAAGTCTTTACATTTTCTTGTGTGTGATAATAACAAAACCCACAGACATGTGAGTGATAAAACCTGGTGGAAGTTAACATCCTGTGAGTGTATTTTCCGGCTCCTTTGCCCTTCTGTTCTTCTTGCAGAGATACACTGCAGTTCGTTTTTCTTATCTATTACAAACAGCTTTAAAGTATCATATGTATGTTTATGTATGTATGTTTCCTGTAATCATTTATTTTTGCATGTTACACAAATAGGATTATTTTGTGTGTGTGTGTGTGCGTGTGTGTATGTGTTCGTGCGCGTGTGTATGTGTATATATAAAGAGAGTCTTCAGTGACATTTTTATTGTTGTTTTGTTTTGAGGCAAGGTCTTACGTTGTATCTTTGGCAGGCCTAGAACTCCTAGAACTCTGCCTGCGTGGTCCTTCTGAGTGCCTGGACTAATTTTCACCCTTATTGCCTTCTGTTGTCCCCCTTCCACTCTCATTGAACATCAAGACAATAAACATGGACAAATTCTCTTGCTATTTAATATTTTGATTAAAATTCTTAAGAGAATTTTCTTAAATACATTGTAATAGAAATTCTTAGTCAATGAGGGCCATTTTTCTTTTATTTCAGTTATGGTCATAGTTTATGATGTTTTTAGATTTTGGGGGATTTCATATTTGGGGATTTCATATTTAAGTGATAAATATGCTAGATTACATAATTTTAATGTTTTAACTCAAGACAATTTTCAACATGTGGATCTTTTAGAAGTTGTAAATTATAATTTTTCTAGGAGACAGAGTGTGTTTGACTTTGAAGTTCAGAAATAATTTTACAGAATGTTGCCCTGAAAGTTTTTGTTTTATTTATGCAACTTATACTTGTTTTAAATTTTCATAGGTCTCTGGCAAGTGACCATTTTGTTTTTAGTTAGTCTGTGAATTTATATTCATTATTAATACCACTGAGGCTCTGAAACTTTTACACTTGAAAATAGTAGAATTTCACTATTTAAAATGTAAACTGCCCAGTGCTGGAAAATGTCCTAATCCTACTGTTAGCAAGTTCCCAAGTTTAAACTAGATTGTATCAGTTTTTTTTTTTTAAATTCTAGTGGCATTTTGAAACCTAGATAAAAAGGAAAATGAAATTATTGAACAGTTGTCTTTTCTGTCCATGGGAAAGCTTGTTTTATACATGTCTACGTTTTGTCACTGTTTCTTGTCAGTGTCTCACATGTATGTGGTATCGGAGGTTTAAGTGAAAATAAACTGTGGGCTTTGGAGGTGGCTCAGTGAGTAAAGTGCATACAGTTATGCCAGCACACTTTGCAGTTCTGAGATTCTGAGTTTAGGTTTTCAAAGCCCATGTACAAAGCCTAGTGCACATCAAAGGTGTGGGTGAGAGGTGTGAAGATCCCTGGAGCTTGCTGGTTAGCTACCCTATTTTACTCTAGGCCAGTGAGAGACCTAGTCTCAAACAAAAGAAGGAAGGTGTCTGAGGAGTGACCCTTGATGTTTTCTTCTGACCTCCATGTACATGGATACCCTACACATATGAATACATTCACATATTCCTGTACGTACATGTACACAAAGTAAAGTGATGAAAAATACTTTTAATAAAATTTCCATAGAAATATGTGGTGTTGAAGTTCTGTAACAGTGTAGGAAGACATGTTCCCAACAGTAGATAATTTCAATGTAATGTTTACACATAGTGGGATAAATATTTTACAGTTATACTCACTTTCTTATGCTTAGATTTCACCTTTCCCATTACAACCTTTATTTCTCAGGTTCATAGTCTGTTGTCAGTCTTCCTGCTTAACTTACAAATATGCTTCATTTTATCTTTTTATACAAAACCAAATGCAGCATCATTAGGCAAATCCCTGCCTAATGGCTTTGCTCCTGCTTTTGTTACAGTTGAGTCTTTGCTTCTGTGGGATGCCCTTTATTCAATCTGTGGATTTTACTTCACTTCTCCTGTCTTGTTTTTCACCTCCCACCCTGTTTTATTACAATTAGATAGTTGGAATACTCTGAAAGGACTTTTAGCCTGTTTTGTATGTTTTTGTGTTTTTCAGAGCATTGAATGAAATGTGGAAATGTCAAAATCTACTCCGACATCAAGTAAAGGATTTGCTTGATTTAATTAAACAGCCAAAAGTAAGTTAAATTTTAAAGATTTTAGGTAGCTTGTATTATAATTATTACCAATTATAGCTTAATATCCTATAACTTTACTTAGAATTAATATTGTGGTAATTTTATGGTATTATATGATGGTATTCTGTGTGTCTATAACCTTGAACACAGTCTCAGGTGTTTTTCTCAGTATTGTCTAGGTTTTTGGTTGTTTTGTTTTGTTTTGTTTTGTTTTGTTTTGAGACAGTGTCTCTGAACTGGAAATTGCCAGCACTAGACCTAACGTTGCGTGTTACTACGCCTACATTGTTATGTGGGTTCTAGGAATTAAATTCAGGTTCTGGTACTTGCACAACAAGCAGGTTGCTAACTGAATTATCTTATCTGAAATTGTGGTATTCATCCAGTAAATACTTATTTTATTTGGGGGCATTTAGAATGATTTCAAGTACCTTCCCTTTCTGAAAATGATGTCTGTGAAATATATTTATCTAAAAAAAATGTATCTGATCATTTTGAATTACATTCAAGGAAAACAAATTAGTCATTTTATTTTTTATTGTATTACAAGCTCAAAGTTCTTGCCTCTGACATCCTTCCGTCACATGCATCTCCTGTTTGTAGGATGAAAGCAAATAGCACAGTGTTGTTTCATCCAGGAGGAAACATTTCTGAGTTGCTTGCAAACTAGCTGCTATTTAGCAGAGATTGTCTTAGTGATTTATTGTGACTCTCACTGTTTTCTTTGAAAACCTTTGTGATGTGAAGATTTTAAAACCTAAGCCATTTTGTGCCACTTGTTTGTATGGTTCAAGTTTATATTTGAAATGTTTTTGTTTTGTTTTAGATAGGCTAATTGTAACCTTTTTTGTTTTGTTTTATTGTGTTTTGTTTATTTGTTTTTTGGGACAAGGGTTTTGTGTGTGTGTGTGTGTGTGTGTGTGTGTGTGTGTGTGTGTGTGTGT